TCATAAATACCTCAGACAGTTTAGCTATTCCTATTGGTCGAGAGCCCGTCACGTGGCCGGTCTTAAACGGATGATAAAGACATGGCTAGCTGGTCTGAAACACTTTTCAAGTGTCACAATAAAATGTGGACTCCTAAAAATTCAGTGCCTCTTACCGTTTCATTGGTTGAACGTTCACAATCCTCACGTAGGCATGCGCAACACTACCAGTGAGTCATAATTTTATAGTTCAAAATTCCAAACGCAACGCCCCAGGTGCGTTCTGCGCGACATCGCGCAGAACATGCCACGCGCGCGTCAATCGCCATAAAAGGTTTGTTTACATCTTACTCGCCAGCTGAACACTCCATTATTTTGCCAGAGGGATGTTTCAAAAAGCATGAAGTGAACTTGTTGAACAAAATCGGGATTTTTTAACGAATTATTTGATATTTTTTAACCGAAAAGGTATTTATGAATGGGAATAAATATGTGCTCGGTCGGTATTTATCACTCCGTTTAAGACCGCTTAGAGTCTGGGTGCTGATAATTACCCTCGCCTCCGGCTCGGGTAATTATCAGCACCCCTACTCTAAGCGGTCTTAAACGGAATGATAAAAACCTCTCGAGCACACATTTATTCCCTTAATTAAGTTTTCTAACGCATCATATAAAATCGTCGTTATAACGTTTAATGAAACTTTAATGAGTTATTTGTTTGTAGGCTTGCGTGTGTCTTTGTGCGTTTGTTTCTGCATTCAATAAGGGACGTATAGGGTACAATAGGGTCCCTAATTCCCGAGAGGTCCACAATTTGGATTTGTGTACACAACATATGGGTGATCTTCCTAAAAAGTTAGAACAAACACAAGAGGGACAATAGGGGTCCCCGATTGCAGGCACATGCACACTTGTATGAGTGTGAGGATTCAACCATCAAGCAGTCTTCAAAATGTGAGTTTAGATGGGTATTACACAAAGCGGGCCTTTATATATACGGGTTGGTTGTCTTCACAAAGCTTATCAATACTTACCTCTGATGCTGTTCTCCATGTTGTGTACGATGTTCTCCATGTTGTGTACGACTACCCTTCACCCGAGTTGGTACCTGTGCCTGTCACCGGTATTAATTACAAGTAGAAAAGATCCGAAAAGGGGCCAATCTCTACTTGATGAAAGAGTTGGGCTCTTCCTTATGTTCACTATCATACCGTACATGTATTGCCTCCCTTAACATAAGCGTACATCTTTCTGATTTTACCGGATCACCCCATCACCGCTACGGTTGTTTCACCGATTGGGTTAGACCGCAAATAGTTATCCCAGAGGCGGATCCAGGGTTTTTCGCATGGAGGGGGTGGGGTTCATCAGCAAATCATTCTGAAATGTACACAGCTGTTTTTTTTTCTCTACGGGGTGGAGGGGGGTGGGGGGAGGTGTGGGGGTGGGGGTGACTCGTACCGTACTTTCAATGGGGGCGCTGTTCAAATCCGAAGGTTATTAACACTAATAACAGAATAGTGTACAACTATCCCCTATTAAACCAAGCTGGCTCCGTCCGTGTTTTGTGCACAGTCACACATTATTCACAGTATACCTTTGTTTATGGTATATATACCACGCGCGAGTAGTACTAAAAAATGTCCTTATATGAGAATTAGTGGTGGGCGCGTGGCGTGTACTGCGCGATGTAGCGCAAAACGCGGCGGTTCCGTTATAGTTTGAATCTTGGACTATGAAATACGGACTAATTGGTAGTTTTGCGCAAAAGTGAAGATTGTGATAGTTCTACCAATCTAATGGAAATGGTAAAAGGGACCAGATTTCGTAGGAATCCTAAAATCATGTGACACAACAACAAGTGTTTAAAAGCATTTGATGTTTTATCAACCGCTTAAAAAACCACGTGACGGGCTCTCGACCAATAGGAATGGCTAAACTGTATCAGGTATTTACGAATAAGGGAATAAATATGTGCTTGGCCGGTTTTAAGCAAGTACGATTGTAACTGGCTAGGGGCCTGGTCGACGAGTTGGTATTAAACGTACTTTTTCATAAGTGCATTTGGGTCAACAATACAAAATAAGTAAAACAAATCCACACATTTTAATCAATTTTGTATAACGTTTTTACCTGTGTTGTAAATCACTGTTCTAGCCATGGTTATGGTGTGTGCCTCGTGTGCGAAGTGCAACCAATCTCCATATATGGAAATTGGCGGTCGCCGATTATACCGCGCGATGCAGGAATAAGTGTTTAAAACCAACTGGCGTTTTATCAGCCGTTTAAAGGCCAACTTTGGATTTTATACCCACGACTGATGGTGTTAAAGTATTTCAAAACCTCAGAACATGTTAATCACTGAATGGCATACGTATAATTAGTTAAATGCCGCCATTGCTAAATATTTATACGATCGGTGGCTTTGAGGATAAACTGGTTGAGTATTGGCGAGATTATCCTTGTTTGTCGGTCGCATGTTTTTAAAGAGGGGGTAATCGCCAGCAGGCTTTACAAGAAATCGCAAAACATGAACAGAGAATGTGCTTATATTATATAAATTTTTTTGAGCTCAGCACTTAGCTCAGGTTGACCGCACACGGTGATATTTTTGTAAGCTACGAGCTAAGCAAACGGCGTCAAATGACATTTTGCTCATCACGTAGCTCTCGTGCCTGGCGGGCATAATACATTTTAATTTCAGGGTGTTGAACTGTAGTCAAGCCATTGAAAATTAACCCAATTCCAACTTCGTGGACTTCTAATACATCTAAACATTCAGGCGGGTCTCTCCTCTTAAATACAGCCACAGCAAGTTTAACCCTAAAAGGGCCGGGAGCGGAATCCCCCCTTCAACATTTTCCGCAATAGCGGGGAAAAAACGCAAACCGAGCTGTTGTAACTTTTTGCCTTGAGCCTTGCGCATCTTTTAATACCAAAAACATAACAATCGGACCACGGGTTGTAGCGCAGCGAAAAAGTTTCAGGCGCTACGCGCCGTGAAAACTGAATTTTCCCATATACGTCGTGTACAAAGAGCAGTATCGCCATTCGTCTATATATTAATTAGCCATAATTTCAAAACACTTTGACCTATTGTCATGAAATTTATTGGATAAAATTATGTTTATGGAGAGTTGCTCTATGCATGTATCGAGTTTCAAAATTGTTCGTCACTCGATGGCCGAGATCTTAGGGTAAGGGGGCGGGAGCGGAATCCGCCCCCGGCTGAGAGATGGTTAAAAACCCGGCCCTTTTAGGGTTAATACACAATTTTGCATTTAAGTTGGGGGTCGCTACCCGTAATACATACAAGGACAAGTTGCACAATATAAGTCTGACAATTAAATATTCACAATACTTTTAATTCGAAAAGTGACACCAACATAATACATGCAATTACTGTAGAAGTAGGGCGCTTGTTACCTCTCTTTAAAACCATAAGCAAAAAAAAAAAAAGACTGTTATTTCACAAGTTAGATTTGAACGTTTTGATACTCGAATGCTATTCAATAAAAGTAAACCTTAATTTGCTTAAATTTTAATGGTTATTTTGTTTTTCTTTCTTCCTTTGCAAAAGAAAAGAAAAGAAAAGAAAAGACAACAGCTCTTACAACGGTACGGATGGCTACCCTGTGGATCCGTGCTACATTGGCAAGACAGCTGAAGGTCTAAGCGGTGCTGTGTAAAGGGTTCTGTCTTCCTGTATTCCTTCACCATCGAGTACACCATCATTGCCGGTGCCATGGCCTACATCATGTGGCAGAACATCGGGCGACGGGTGCACCATCCACACAAGGAGCAACCCTTCGTCAGTTCAACTTCAGCTTCGAGTGCGGTCTGCTGGTTTGCGTGCTCTGTACCATGTGTGGTGTCATCATCCTGATCCTTAACATCATCTATATGGGAGACTACGAGAAGCGAGACCAGAGCTTCATGTCCTACCGTGGCTACCGGGTCTTCCTGAATCTTGTCTGCATCATCGCCTGTATAGGGGCCTTTTTTGGGATCCACAAAGGCGGCTGGCAGCAGGACCATCATTCAGGCCCGGTGCATCGGGTAGACGCGGCGCTGCTGCTCATCTGCGTGGGCGGCAGCCTGCTACAGAGCACCTACACCTTCGTGGCGGCCAATTCCTCCCTCGGACAGCTGCACGCTGGTCTGGTTTTCTTCGATGACTTCTCGCACATCATCCAGACGGTGCTGCAATGCGTGCTGATCCTGGAGTCCATGCACCGCAAGCCGCCGGCCGACTTCCGCCATACTCGTACCAAGCAGCTTCTCATGTTCCTGCTGGTGGCCAACATCACTTGGTGGCTGATCAGCACCTACGAGTTGAAAGGAGGCTACGACCTGTACGCCTTGGAGAACGGCTTCTACGGAGCCACCAGTCCTAGTATGTCATCTTGCATCTCGCGGCGCCCTTGGAGATCCTCTTCCGATTCCACTCCACCGCGTGCTTCTTCGAGGTTTGGAATTTGGCGGGCGTGGACGCTAATGCCGGGCAACACCACTAGGGGGCGCCCTGATGCTGTGGCCGCATTTGGTAGGAAATGGAGGGCGAGGCCGCCATGCGTTGCCATGTAACAAGCGATTATTTGAAATATCTTATGAAGGGAATGAACTGCTTACCAACTCTGCAATAAAAAAAAGACTAGGCCAATTGCGCTCTTAAAGAGGTTGTGGAATGTTCGAAGACATTTCTGTCATTTTTCGTTGAAGTTTTGAAGTTTGTTTCATAAAGCAAAAGTCATGCAAATAATAATATACTGAGGAGCCTCTCGCATGAAGCAAATATCTTGCATACTAGGGGCATGTCTAATGAATTACACACCACGCACCATGCACTTATTCTAATTGCCAATTAGTGAAATACCACAAAGATACTAAATCAGACATGCCCTTCACAATGAGACAAATATCATGCAAATAGATGAGAAAGTGTTAAAAGAAAATACCACACAAATACCTATAACTCTGAGAGGCCTGAGAAAACATATCTACTAACTCTAAGAACTCTTTCACTCGATGGTCGCACAATTTTTCCTGGCATCCTTGTCGGCATCCTTCTCGGTGTCTTTCTCGACTCCGTTGGAGGAGGTCGACATCATGAGATCAAATGACATCTGCGGATTGACACGGCGTTTGAATCGGCGCCGGAAGCGACCGAATGCTTGTTTGACCTTGGCACGTGGCACGTGGGTCGAAACGGTCGGTTGGCGTGAAAAACAAGTGAAGAGTAATTGGAAGAGAAGAAGTGACCAATTGAAAAGTTGTCCTTAAAATGTTGCATGTATGCACGTTTCGGATTATAAACCTTTGTGGTACCGGAAGCGTATTTTTTTTGCAGCATACATCGTATTTTAAACAATCACATAAGTGGTGACATATAAACTGCTTATACGCGTAAAATAACATGCGAAAGGTTGTGTTTGTGTTTTCCGTCGGTTGCCCGTTCATATGACGTCACATGACACATGGTAATTACTCATCATGTGTGTATGCACCTAGCTAGGGCAAATGTCTAGAGACATTACGTAGGTGTGTAGGTCTAACTTCAAACGATGGCGGAGAGTCAGGATTCAATATGACATTTGTTGGACTACGTGAACGCAGAGCCTTTCTAAAGAGCAATTGATGACGTCATGATGCTGACAATTGGTATAATGGTTTCATGGGACCGATTCAGATCTTATTTATGTTATTGATGTATTGGTAAGAACTCACCTCTTCCGTGTTCAGACAGTACAAGAAAAAGACGAGCACGCCCTAGAGGGTGACACAATAAGGAGGTGACATTGTGTATTTTACAGACTGGGAAAGGCTAACACCGAAGAATCGAAATAGATTTGAGATACAAAACGGAAATTGAAATGTCAAAACAATACAACAAATACCAGCGTTTTTCTTACTGACCGATCACCGAGCTTGTATGCCATGGTCGGTTTGAATTCAAAACTGCAGCGGAAAGGTATCTATTTATATTCAGTGATAATAGAAGTACCAAGCGTCTACTCGTGTTCGCGGGTCACTCAAGAACATGGTTTTAAATTTGCCCCATGAGTCGGTAGATACGTTTTGTCTGCGAAGGTTGAAACCAATAAGGAAAGATTTCCATATCTGGCCATCACTAATTGTCCCCTTCAGTGACCTATCAGCCATCAGAAAGTGCTAACATGTCCTAAAAGGTCAAAATGAGCAAGGAAAATATTGGTATTTATTGTGAATAAATTTCCAGACCAATCTCAGTAATACTAGAGTTTGTGCACATGATGACAATTAAGTGATGGCCAGATATGGGAATCTTTCCACTAATTATACTTGCGAAATTGCATCAACTGTTGAGTTACCTGTGATGAGTTCAGAATGACGAACAAGTAGTAGAAGATGAGGTTGACGCCATCAGCGGCATTGACCCCGAGACCAAACAGCCAGGTGTATCCCATGAGCGGCAGGACGATCAACAGCGCCCTCACTACAACCCTAGGGGTCAAAGGTCAAACTGGCTCGTTCAACAGCTTATTTTAACTTAATGATCGCAACCGTGTTTCCTTATTTCTAAGCAGATGTTACCCTTGGAAGTATCGCAATTTGTACAAATGAGAATTTTCGTAGAGTCCATCCCATAGAAATCGATTTCAGCATGTTTGGGTTTATAGCAATTCAAGCTATGTCCAGACGTGATATTTCAGTGGCAGATCTGTGGGGTGGGGTAGGAAACACCCCCCCCCCCCCCCCCCGTTCAGCCGCTGACTTATGGTATGATACCAGTAAAATGGGGTCAAAAATACTAAATATATGCTACAGGTATTTATATGTATTTAAAATATTTTTTTAATCTCTCTCTGATAAAATTTGCTCTGTCTACTGCAACAGACGTCCACGTGTTATTTTATATATCACCTTATTTTGTCGAATTCTGTCCTGCTTTTCACAATCTTGAGTTTCACCAGCGACTCCAACACGAAGATCAAAAAGATCAGGTTCACCTAAAATATGACATCAAGCAAAATTTATTATGGATTCACTAATCATCTTTGTGTGTATTAAACGGTAAATAATCCCCGTTTTATGCATGTAAGTTCAACCCGCTTTTCAAATAAACATAGGAAACAGAATAGCTGAATTGAATTGACACATTACATTCTGTAGGAAACACACGAAATCATGTTATATTTATTGAATCATATTTGCGAGAAATTTACACAGCAACATAGGCTTACATAAAAGGCAAACATCTATCCTTTTCCGTGAATAGTTCAGAATTTGGGCTCGTTGGATTAATCACAATCAAAAGTACTCCTTTAATTTGAAATTTGAAAACATCTTACCGCGACAACGAAGATGACTGGGGCAATAAATGCCCAGGTTGTTTGTCCAATTAGCCAGCATCTACGAGACAAAGAAATCGTTATTCTGAAGGGGGTTTTCTTAAGAGGATGAACTGTCTGAAAGAAATGGGTACAGAATGTCTTTACCTCATTTTAATTACACATTCTGTCGTGGAACATTTGCAAAGGCAAGGAAGGATACAGTAATATTTTCTTTGAGGATTCACGAAAGTACCCTCCGTAACTGTACACCTACAACTATACAGTTGCTCTACCCAAGCTATTAAATATATTCACTTTTTTTCTCTCCCAAATTTTTTTTCGATTTGAATGTTAGATTTCAACGTAAAATAAATGTTGTTTTTTCCTATTTGGTATGTTTTCGACCTTCTAAAAATACGTGTTTATTTTGAGTTTCATTTGCGCCAATGACAACACAATTAAAGATATGCTGCAATTATCGCGGGCCTCAAACAATCTCAAATCTGTAGAGTATAAATTTTTCATATCTTAACGTTGGCGGATTTTTTTTTTGCGATGACTCATTAAAAGTCAATAACTTTTGTATTGCTTTAAAAACGAGCAATAATAAAAAAAAAGTAAATCGTGGTGAAACTCGGAAAAAACAACAACAACATGAGGGAAGCACCTTAATGAATATGCATCATCATAAATGAGAATATGCATGATTTGTAAATGGTTGAACAAATTGGTGGGTGAAAAAAACATCTGAAAGAATTAGAAAACGTGTTGTTGTTTTTGAAAACGCTAAGTGTTGACTGTTCTCGGCTCATCTTTAAGAGATTTACTTTTTCTTTTGACCCATAATCCTCCGCAGCTACAGCGAAAGTGATTGCCACTACAACGGCTGGCACGCCTAGAAGACGAGAAAAGAAAAAGAAAACACTTAATCAATTGAATATTAAAGTGTCTTCAAAATAGTAAAAAAGAGAGTAAAGTTTGTCACGAGCCAATGTGGCCCATCAGGCCGGCGTTTATCTCCGGTTTCAATCGCATGAAACGACTGCGGTTATTTCTACTCCCCCTGGATGTTATGCTAGTCCAACGCAGTAGCTTACTCCCCAGCTAATGCCGGTACCCATTTATACTCCTGGGTAAGGGGGTTGACGTGGCTTGCCCAAGGACACAACATATGGCCAGCAGCTGGATTCAAACCCCTGACCCTCTGATCCTGAGTCACAAACCCAAACCACTAGGCCACACACCCCCACAAAATAAGGTGGTATTTAATCAGTGATTTAGTCCAGACATTTTTCAAAGACCTTAACCGGATGCTCATAAAATGTAAGATCTGAGCCCAGCACGAATGAGCCAAAACTCGCAGTAATTTGATTTTTCAAAGACAAATCAGTTGGGTTGTTCATCGTATGTTAATGTAGGGTTGAAAGTTATCATTTAATTGGGGAAATGAATCTCAAAAGGTCCTGCGAAGATGTCGGTGCAATGTAATGTCTTGAAAACGCGTTTTTAGTTGGCATAGGATGTTGACTCAAAATTCTGATTCCTTCAACTCCGACTGAAAAATTTGGTCTCTGAACAAAGGCTGCGATCAACAAGCAACCATGAAATCCAAGAAGCGCTGAGGTTGCCGCCGCATATGCACTCACCCCAGCCGGGCAGCATGAGCTTCCAGGGCCTAAGCCGCCGATGAAACACAAACTTGGCACTGACAACGAGCAGGGCGCCCTCTACCAGCATCCAGCTGAACGAAGCCAGCAGGAAATAGTGCAGCAGGACCGCGGCAACTCTGCAGCCTGTTGTCTGAGCTGCAGAGACACAATCATGAATAATGCATGAGATGAATAATGCATGAGATTGACAAAGAGCAGGCCGCCCTCTACCACCATCCAGTTGTACAAAGTCAGCAGGAAAGAGTGCAGCAGGACCGCGGCAACCCTGCAGCCTGTAGTCTGCAGAGACACAATCTTGAATAATGCACGAGATGAATAATGCATGATTGACAAAGAGCAGCGCGCCCTCTATCAACATCCAGTTGAACGAAGCCAGCAGGAAATGACTTGCTTGAATAATTAGTATCCCCTAGCAGTTAAGACTAGTTTAATACCCCCTGCAAAGAAGCCTTGGTAGAAAACACTTTCTTGAAGGAGAAATAAAAACACTTTCTTGAAGGAGAAATAGACAGTTTGAGAACAAATGGACGATACACAAAAAATCGTTCAATGCAGAAACATCGTTCAATGCAGAAACCATAATCATGTAAAATTAACACTGTGATCAAGGATGGTGTTTTGTGACTTAGTTGTCAGTGAAACTCACGTCTGACACAGCGTCGATTCCCGTCAGAAAGACGAGCTGGGATATGAGCAAGGCGACGCACAGGTTGGTATGGACCATTCCACGCTCCGTCTTGTACATCCTTTCCATTCACAAATTAAAAAAAAAAAAGAACGAGTGGAATCCAAACCAAGTTTTGTTTGACTCAGAATATCAAATTACACTCGGGGCCAAAATGACCTAGGCCAAATTCATGGAGCTGCTAAGCATAAAAATTTGCTAAGCACAAAAAAGGCTTGGCTTATAAATGCAGGTTACCAGCCAAAACTCCATGTCATTTTCATGCTCAGTAAACAACAGCTGAATACCAATCACAATATACATCACATGGAAATTGGTTGGTAATCCTGTTTTTGCTAAGGATGACTTTTCATGCTAAGCAAATGTCTGTGCTTAGCAGCTCCATGAAATCGACCCCGGGAACCCGGGTTAAGTGACCTTTATACTGATCAGGGTCAAAATTAATCTTTTCCAGGTAGAACTGGCACTTCTCTGGTTTTATTTTCCAACCATTTTGATCCAGAAATCACGGCAAAATTAACATCTTGTCCAAAACAAAGGAAATATTTTGACCTATAACAGTATTGGGTCAAAATGCATGACCAGGATTCCGGGTGAAATCTGACATTTATTGGCTGTCGGCCACGTCAGAGATATAATATCTCGACTGCAACTTTGATTTGATTTTGTTCTATCAAGAAAATCACTTTGCTCACCCAAAGAGTGCGTAGATGACCAGCATTAGGGTCAAGCAGAGAATGGAGAGAGAGCCTCCGAGGATGGATAGAATAGTCAAGGCTTTCTCGTCGGCCTTAGGTATAGGGACCTATCAAATAAAGACATCTGCGCGTTAGAGACTGTGGCGTGTCAGTTCGGCTGTACCTGTAAGCAAAGAAAGCTAGCCCCTGCTGCATAATCGAAAGTATTACCGGAAAAAAGATACCTTACGGTTTAATAAATGCAATGTGTAAGAAATTCCAATAAGCATGTATGCGCACAAACAAAACCCTTTCAATAACCCCATTTTTTAATATTTCACTTTCCAAAACGTCTTACTTTACTATTATCGGCATTAGGACTTGTTTTAAACAACTTGCGACAGCAATTTTTTTTAACAGAAATGGTAATTACAACAAGTTAGGGAGACACTATGTCTCCCTAAAGACCAAAGTCTCCACTGTGTTAAATAACTTACTAGAAAGTGTCTCCTTTAGAAATCATTTGTTATTATAAGCCTAGCCCCGAGGAAAATCGAGTAAAAAAAGTGCAAAAGCGGGTGGTGAAATCACAGTCGTTTTGCACCTCATTCTCTACTTAGCAAGTTCAAACCAATGCATGGAAAACACCGACTCTATCAACTCGCTCTATACTGGTTTACCTGACGAGAAAGTATTTCCAAGACAATAGCTAGTATTCTTTGCTTTAGGTCGATTTCAACAACAGAGGAAAGCAAATTATAATTTGTATTTTTTTGAGAAAACACCATATATACACAAAATAAAAGTGAAGACTGCAAATGCAGCTTCAGCAATGTAGAACAGACAACAGAAGCCAAATTGTTTACTTTTCTCTGAAACTGTTATAGAAAATAATTTGCAAACTCTTTCCATAACCAACATGATTGATACTTTTTGGGTAAAATGAATCTGATCAATAAGTTGAAAGTATCATAATACTAGACATCGTGAAAAGCTCGTTTTTAAACTTACCGCATTTGTATCCAGCTGCATGAGTACGGCGAAGTTGGTCAGGTGATCACATGAGCACGTGGTTGAATTGGTTAAATTGGCGCCCTCATTGGTCACACTGCATCCCTCACCGGACCACACCCCCGCAAAGGTCTCGTTGGAAACAGAATAATCAATAATACAAATGAAACAGAAATATACCCACGATTGAAGAATACCAAGACTTAAATATTGATTTTCAATTCTTCATGCCAATCGGGCAACAAAACAAAACAAAACAAACAAACAAACAAACAAACAAAATTACAGGCTACTTTGCTCGCAATTTAATTGGGGGGTTCAAATTCTCTCTTCAATTGCATGGGGAATTGTGTGGAATCCGGATTTTTATAGAAGCTTAAATTTCCTGAGTTATTCGTGTACGCTTTGAAAACCAAAGCCAGACACGTAGTCCTAAAAAAGCTTGTCATGGAGCTGAAAGAATACTACTGAATGGCCAGTCATAAGGACGTCGTTTCATGCATCGGATACAATATGCCTAATTGAAATCATGCAGCCAAATTTAAGCTAACTCTACCGGTACTTACTTGTCTAGAATCTTCCAAAATACACAGGCCATTGTGGCGTTTTCAGGGACGACCTATACGGATGGAAAGGATTGACAAAAAAAAATGCAGAATAATGTTTATCTTTTATTTTAAAGAAAAAACAACATTATAAAAAAACTGCATACAAGTAAGCTAGAATACAAAGAGTGAGTGAAAAGGTATGTGGGTCCTTTAGGCCCATAGCGCGCTCGTACCTGAGAGCATTTATACAGAGTGGTAATGAATCACCAATGCGTCTAATCAAGCATACCACAGAGCAACAGACCTGCCATAAGACATTACGTCAGATGCAATGTATCTATGGGTGGCTGGAGGCCCTTGAACAGTAAAATCTGTTTGAAAAGCCAAATTGGATTTTTCTTTCAAAATCAGTTTTCCCGATGCAACAACGACTGTACAATCTCATGTGATGCGCATTTTATTTAGGTTCACGTGCCATCTTAGGTGTATTTTTATGGTATTTGTTTTATGTTAAACTAGCGAATTTTTTCATCAACAAACAAAGTACGATCGTAAGCGCGCACAAAGGCAAAGTGACTAGGCACCTGATAATAAGTTTAAAAATTGAACAAAGAAATTGACTGGACGCGGTTTGAACCTTCCACCTCTGCATGGGTCACCGTTCCGGACATTCAGAATAATAATTTGCCCCTCCCCTTAAAATACTGCGCGTCTGTAATCCCCTTGAATAACACATTCCCAGAGTCCCCCTCCATCACCATCCTGATTTAAGTACACATATTTTAATTACACTTTTAATGGCAGGTGGTGCACTCCGTAGTTTCACATTTACACAACATGGTGCGGACGTGACTATGCCCTTTCATACAAGTTGATCAACCTTGAACAACTTGTAACACACAGAGAATTCAGTGTTTTGTTCATATTTTTGTGTTCATAGTACATTTATTTTCCACAATGTCACATATTTAAGTATTATAAATGAATAAAACAGGTTAAAGACAAATGGTTGATCTGTACAGGAACCTATACTAGGAAGAAAAGCTTGTAATCGTAGGCCACTTATATTTTAAAGTTGCTAAATTTTAAATACACAAAACAAACAGTAGACAAGGACAATATCTACATGTACTTGTTTACGTCGATGACGGGCAAAATTTTTAACCTTGAACTCTATGGTGCGTTACGTACTGCGTTATGGCAAAACAGCACTGTGTTTTTCCGGGTTTGAGAAAAATGAGAAATAATTCCATAGCCATTGTGGATTTCATGAAGAGCTCTGGATGAAAATGATTCGTTGACAGATTCAGACTGTGTTTTCAACAACCACCTGAGTCAATTATGCAAAGGTAGGCATATCATACGGAAGAGTAATAGAAAGAGGAATATGTCTTTGCAAATGGGGGTATACAAAGACATTTCACGTAGGTCTATCCGCCTACTAATTTCTAGCTCTATACTGGAGACCTAAATATACAATGACGCAGGCTTTTCAAACTACGGCTGGTTTGGTTACATTGTGGTGGGGGTTGAGAAAGCAAACGTATTAAGACTTAAAGACGAAATGATTTTGAAATGACGATTATCATGAGATATCCGACATTAAAGGACCCAGGTAATGGTTTCTTTCAATGTAATTCTTGAAATGTACTTTGTGTTCCATCATATAAAGTCCCCTTCATTAATTATTTCATACTGTAATTTTAAGGGCGTTTTGGTTTTTGTTATGATAATTACAAATGCCATACTCACGAACGAATCTGTGATGTCATTTCAGAAAGAAATTTCAAAGAAGCAATCTGTTTCAGCATGGAAAGTCGAAAGGATTGTAGGGGCTTGCATTGCTTTGTTTTTCTGCTTTCAGTGATTCATTGTTAATCAGGAAGACAATGAGAAAACAAATGTCAAAAATAAGCAGAATTTTGGCTTCACACTTTTTAGAGAAAACTCTATGAAAAGTGCGTTCATATTAAGTGGCCCGTGCAATCTTTTACGCTTGAAATATCAAACTTAGTTAAAAAAATTTGCAAAATATGGAACTTTTCCTCAGTTGTCAACTGTGTAAAAATGTACACTGTGCATTTTCTTTTGTCAAAAAAGGATCACAAGACACCGGACAGGCCGGACACCTTCTGCCTCAACTGTCTGGATGAGGTGTTGAGCAAACAGCAGCCGAGTACGGGCAAGATCACATGCCCGGTCTGCAGGAAGGAAACCCCGGTGCCAGATGCTGGCTTGCCCGGTCTACTCGATTGCTTCTTCTTGAGTTCCCTGGTGGATGAGATCAACCAGCAGGAGCTGTCGCTGGAGACCCAGCAGCAAGCAACGACTTCACCGACCTGAGACGAATGCGAGATAGGATTTTGCGATGCCTGCTGCCGATAGGATTTTAGCATGAGTCCGCGCTCTAAGATCGTTCTATCGGATTGCGAGGAATAGTGCACGGTGGCTCACAGACGCACTAAGACACATCGGGTCACACCGGTTGAATATCTGCAGCAGAAGGACGTTTCTTCTGCAGATTTCTGAAAGACGCGTTTGCCGAGATGGCAGACAATCAGCAACCAGGAGAGGCATCTTCAATGCGAGAAAAAGTAAAGCATGTCTTGCAGAAGTTTTCGAAGAGCAAACAGGAATTCGAAGCTAAAGAAGAATTGGTTAAGAACGTTAGAAACAGACTGGAAATAATGGTGACCCGGGCCCGGAGTGCGATTCACGCTAAAGAGGAAGAAGAGATTGCCAAAATCAATAACAAGGCTCGACTTCTCAGAGACAAGGTCACTGAAATTCGCAAAAAGAGAGAGGATGAGTTTGTTAAAGTACAAACCAATAATAATGAGAAGATGGAACGAGCAAAGGAGATAAAGACAAGGCTGACTCGGTTGATAAAACAAGCTGACGACTCTAAACTTTTGGGGCCAAATGTGATGAACGACCTGGAATTCCAGAGGGATCTGCAGTTTGAAGAAGTGGACCACGGTAAATCATTCATTGGATTCAAAAGCCAAGACGTAGTAAACAATTACGATCTCGGTGAAATACTTCTTGAAAAGAAATGGGAGTTGAAGACCATGTTTACGAAAGTGGAGCAAGGAAACTTCAACTGTGCAATGGGCGTTGGATGCTTCAGCAATGGCGACATTGCTGTTAACGATATCAAAAATAAACGATTGTCTGTATTTACTTCTACTGGACAATACAAAGAACAGCATGATCTGAACGCACCGTACGGTATTGCTGTAATGTCCGATGATCGACTTTTGGCTCATTTTGAAGATCGTGTAGACATTTTCGATACAAGCCATAGGACTAGGCTTGAGTTAATTCGGCACTTAAAACCACCGCAGCAAACGAAAGGCGTTTTGGCCGGCTGTATCACAGCTGACAATAACAATCAAGTGGCGGTGGTTGACAAGAAGACAGGAGTCACGTCTCTCTTCAATCTGGATGATTCTTCGATCAAAGTCATTCCATGTACTAAAATGGTTCCCATCGACATTGCCACAAACAACAAAGGATGTCTCATTTTCGCAATGTATCACGAAGGGGAACTGCGATGCGTAGAACTGAACGGAACGGAGCTGTTCAATGTCAGCACTTCTGTGGACGGAAAGGATGCGAAACCAGTCGGCGTATGTTGTGACGCTGCAGGCGACATCTATGCTACCCTTCACTGTGGTAAAGGCGCAGGGACCGGTGAAGTGCACCACTATGATTCCAATGGGGTCTACCTTCATTGTGTAGCGAAAGAATTGTGGTGTCCATTTGACATTGCCTTTTCCCCACGCGGCGAGCTTGTAGTGGCTGATAAGCAATCGGTCAAGATCTTTCAGGCTACCTGCGATAATGCCAAACCTCAAAGCCCAGTGCTGGCTAGTGGGAGCCCGCGCAATCTACGAGACCAGATTGCTCGAGCCGAAGTCCCCACCTTGGATGCATCCCCTCCCACCCAGCATGGCACATTTAATTGCAGTGTTGGATGTGTGGTTTGCAAGAACCACATCAAGGAGTCCGACTCCTTTTCTGGCCGTTCGTCTCGCACTACTTACAAAACTATTGGTCACATCACTTGCACCACCTCTAGTGTCATATACCTCATTACTTGCAAGGTGTGTGGAAAGCAGTATATCGGCCAGACCGGTCAAACACTCAGGAAGCGTTTCTATGGTCATCGATCGGATGTCAACATCAAGAAAAACTCTGTTGGTATGCACTTCAACCTGCCTGGCCATTCCATTACTGATATGGAATTACAGGGCATAGAATCCTTTGGTCATTGCGAGGACTCAGTTCGTAGGAGCAAGGAGAAAGAGTGGATGAAACTTCTTGGGACTAATTATCCAAATGGACTCAACATCCGATGATGCCGATGATTGTTTCCCTCACAAAACTATACTAAAATTGGCTAAGCCCTGGACTCACATGTTGAAGTTCAGTGAATGGCTGAAAGAGAACAAGCTTACCTGACCTAAGAAAGACCGTTGGAACAAGACAGAATTAAGCTAGTTAACTAATTTCGAGGTTCCCAAAATAGAAGTAGACGGATAGGTGATAGAAATTGTAAATTTTCCCCAAATTCTTGGGTGTTTGGCTTGATACAAACATATAGACTGTACAGATCATGTGGACAAATTGATAAGTAATAGAATAGAATTTTATTGTCATTTGTATATAAAAAACATACATTGAAATTCATTAAAGCTTCAGCTATTATCTTTTATTCAGACTAACCCCAGTGCTCGACAAAGTCTTCATTTATTTTATGGGTTCACGAGTCTGCAAGTGTAATAAGACTGCTCTTTGGGCATTTGATTTGGTTTCTGGGTTGAAGAGTCCACCATTTTAATATTTATTTGAGTTTAATCGAATGTTATAAATTAAATTATATTTTTGTTTTACATCAGTTGGTCAGTCATTAACTGAATCTATTTAAACATTATGCCCCGACCAACTGATTCAGTTTTGATACGGTAATAACCAGTTTACTGCTTATCATTACCATTTTAAGGTTTCACAATATATTGATATACAGTACATGTAATAATCAATTATTTAACCATATATGAAAGTAAATATGCTATTTAGAAATATTTTTTCCTTCTTTGTTATTGAAATGAATGTAAATTTATTCTAGAGCGGTTGAACGGTTTAACAACTTATACCGGTATCTAAGTACTGTTTCAGGGGGGCAAATCCGCCTTAAAATTCAATGGAACCGCTGTATAAAATGCTTATTATCATGTTTTTGATGAACAGCCTCCAGAAAACAATCTTAATGAGAGAGTACAATCTTAATGACCAATGCATTTATGCAGGGATTCACAACTGCGAAAGAATTGACTCGTGTTTTAAAAATGAGATTAATCTTTTCTATATAAAGCGCTAATTCAACTGCATTTCGATTATGGAGGTTTGGAGTCATCGTGGTTTTGGACAGCAAAATCAAATTCAGCAACTACAAAACAGAGCAGTCAGGGCAATATTTATTTTTGCTCCTCATATAGAACACATGCAAATGATTTGCTGGACAAACTGGGGAGGATTAGACTTATAAAACAGAGATTGTCATGCAGCCGTTTCGGTATGTAATACGTGTAATAATTTCTCTCGTATTTATCTTGCTGCATTTGAATACATAAATAGATCATCCTCACAATATACTACGGATAATTTTAATGGGAAAATCTAGGTGACTAACACAAATCTTAAGAAGGGTCAAAACATGTTTTGCAGAGATGCTAAATTATGGAATGACTTGCCAGTTATTGCCAGAAACCAGTCTGACATCAAGTCCTTATAGCAGACTTATTCGTGTATAAATTAAATGTACATTTTATTCGGCCGTGGTTGTTGGGTAATTTTGGTTCGGGGTTGTTACTGCTAGGGTTAGGAAGTGACTTCCTAGGTTGGGATTTTGATCGGGATTTGAGGGTTTCTCTTTGCATGCCAAAATTTTTTTATTTGGTATTAACCTGCTAATCAGGCGTATGAATAATGGTCAGGGCACAACTGGCTCGGAATACACAACAAATTAAACTAGTGAAACAATTATTATAAACGTTTTTTTTTGCAACAGTTTAGTTGATAACGTGCTAACTAAAGTTTACATAGACCAAAACGTTCATAGTTACCAATATTCTTGGTGGTCAAGACATCTTATGAATGATCTCACGACGAAAAAGGCCATGTTATAATGTTGGGAAGATTACAATCAAACAAGACATGAACGAGTATCCCGACAATGTTTTCTGTAAAGATATTCGTGAAATCTATCTGTTTACAGCAAAAAGCATTTCAAGATCAACGTGTAACCGTAGCACCATTAGCACAATAATATGAAAAGGGGGATTATTACGACTCTACAACGATATGTTTCAAGTATTCGAATCAATGTGAAGTGTACTATTTCTGAAAATCATTATGGAAATGAATGTTTGTTAATTGTCTTTCTAATTTAGGATCTGAAGCATTTGTAATTGCTACTTCATTATAAAATGTTGTGTAAAGGGCAAAATACTCTTTTGTGTCTCTTGTATAGGAACGAAGCATAATTCTTACATTGAAAACAATTCTTCATGAGGATGACACAAAAGAGGGTTTTGTTCACACAGAAAGATTAGAAGAATAAGGTGCCTCGAAATAAATTGAATGAGAATATTGTACTTCCGAAAGAGAACGAATAGTTGCTTTAAATATTGCGTTGTTAAGCGCCCCGTGTCGGATTCGACCTGGACTTTTTGATTTGCATTTTGTTTGTTAAAAATGTATTAGGGAAGAGGCGTTAACCTTTAATTTGTCCATTCCCAGCCCGCTGAGAAAGTGGGATTGGCCTACATTAAGGATACACTCCCGTCTTCCTTCAGTTCTTTCATCATTCACGCGGTATTTAGAATCCCCTTGAAGGAAACATTCACAGAGCCCCCTCCCCCGCATATCCCAATATTTTTTGCATAAATAATAGTTAATTAACCGAATCAATGGTGTGTAGGGAACTCCGTAGTTTCCTATCTACACAACGCCATACGCACGTGATATGCCTTTTCATACAAGTTGAACCTTTCAACCTTGAACCCCTGATGCGCTGCTGTGTTGTGGCAAAAATAGCACTGGGTTTTTCCGGATTTGAGAAAAGTGAGAAAAATATCTCTCAATATACGTAGCCATTGTGGATTACATGAAGAGCTCTGGCAAAACTGATTTGCTGACAGCTTCAGATTGTGTTGTCATCAACCACCTGTGCCTGGAATATACACCTCAGTCAATCACGGAGAGGTAGGCACATACATGTACATGTACGTTAGGGTTGAGTTAGAACCAGGAAAATGTCCTCAATAACCAGACAATTGTATAAGGCCAAAATGACATGGACAAATTATGTTGAACGTCATACTGGCTCACACTGGAGACCCAAATACCAATGACGGAGGTTTTGCGAGGCTGGTTTGGAAACATTGTTTTGGGGCTGTAGCATTGAGAAAACAAGCGGCCTAAGACTAAGAACCTTACCTTGAAGAAGCAATTTTGCAATGACGATTAACACGAGAGATCCGACGTTAATGGGCCAAGTACAGGTAATGGAATTTCTTCCAATGCAATCTTTGAAATGTACCTTTGTTTTCCACTTGCTTTTATTAGTAATCTTCATATTGCCATTTTTATTGCCATTATTGTGTCTTTTTGTGTTATGTCATTCAGGGCAGAAACTTCATATCTGTTCCAGCATAAAAAGTCCCCATTATTGTACTGGCTTTCTGTGGCTATTTTTGTTGTTGTTTTCAGTGGTTCATTGTTGTTTCAGTAAAGAACAGTAAAACAATTAATGGGACAAATGTATGCGCGAATGTTTTCATAAAGCATAATTTTGGATAATTTACAATATGAGAAAACCCTAATGTGAAGTGTTTGTTCAAAGTGACATCGCAGCAACAGCGCCGTCAGTTGTCAGGAAAAGCATGAAACATCTGAAATGTTTTTAAAAGCTGAGCACACTGTGCAAAACGTTTTATTCAAAAAAGAATGTCTCATATTTTGTGATACATTTCAGAGAAATGCATATTTGCTATACAAAATGTGATTTAGTATGACAATTATTTCATGGGCCTTTAACAAAATGGCAATCCTTTCTCTATAACTGGACCTTTTTCTTACCCCAAGGTCCCAGCAAAATTACCCCAGCCAGCACGGTAAATCTTTTCATTTTCCATTGATAGAAGGATCAAGTATGTGCAGTTAAGAAGTCTGTGTAATCTACATTGCATGTTGCGGTACGAACATGGACTCAATAATGTAAACAGCTGTTGATCACAATGTTCATAAACCTGACAAGTGACAATCAGCCGATTCCGAAATCATATAACGTTAGCCACTGTAAGTAATTACCATTGATGAGTTAAACTACTTTTATTGCCCAAAATGGAATTAGTAGAAGATCAATTTCACGCGGTCAATTCCATTCTATGTCTCCATTCAGATTGAAAGAATAAGGAGCCTCTGTAATCCAACTCAAAGGCTGAATTGATGCGGTGCTTTCTAGTTCTCAACACGTAAGTTTAAGTCAACATTTGCAGTTCACCACTAACCTCATCTAACACTAAAAAGTCCGATTGTTGGAAATACAGGGCGAATACAATGATATTTGTATTTTCAATCTTGCTTGTTTTCAGGTTGGTTGTGAGATAACCAGCTGAGGATGGCTGAGGCAGCTGAGGCCACAGCCAAAACCATGTTAGGTGAGATCAGCCAGGGTCACCTGGAATGCCCCATCTGCTTCTGTCGGTACAAAGATCCCAAGATACTGGACTGTCTCCACACCTTCTGCCTCAACTGTCTGGATGGGATGTTGAGCAAACAGCAGCCGAGTATAGGCAAGATCACATGCCCGGTCTGTAGGAAGGAAACCCCGGTGCCGGATGCTGGCTTGCCCGGTCTACTCGATTGCTTCTTCTTGAGTTCCCTGGTGGATGAGATCAACCAGCAGGAGCGGTCGCTGGAGACCCAGCAGCAAGCAACGACTTCACCAACATGTGACGAATGCGTAGAGGGGTTAGAGGCCGTCTCGCGATGCCTAGACTGCGTGGAAAATCTGTGCCAGCAATGCAAGACGGCTCATGAACGATCCAAACGCACCCAGAAACATCGGGTCACACCAGTTGAACACCCGGAGCAGAAAGAGGTTCCTTCGGCAGATCTCAGCCAGACGCATTCTCCGAAATGTCAGAAGCATGCTGACCAGAAGATGCAATTTTACTGCGAGACGTGCAAGATGCTGATGTGTGGCATATGCGCCACAATCGATCACCGATCGGCTGACCACCAGTTGAGTGAAATTGCCGACGCCGTCAGATCCTACTTTGAAGAAGTGAAATATGTCTTGCAGAAGTTTCAGAAGAGCAAAGAGGAATTCAAAGCTAATGAAGAGTCGGTTGAGCACGCCAGACACAGACTGAAAGTAATGGTGACCCGGGCCTGCAGCGAGATTCAAGCTAAAGAGGAAGAAGAGATTGCCAAAATCAAGAACAAGTCTCGATTGCTCAGAGACAAGGTCATTAAAATTGGCAAGAAGAGAGATGAAGAGTTTGAAAAAGTACACACCAACAACAAGAAGAAGATGGAGCGAGCAGAGGAGATCGAGGCAGCGGTGACTGACTTGATGAAACAAGCTGATGACTTCGAACTCTTGAATTTGAAGCCTAAGGTGATGCACAACCTGGAATTCCAGAAGGATCTACAATTTGATCGAGTAAAACACGGTGAATCTTTCATCGGAGTCAAATGTCAAGACGTTGTGCTCGACAAAGACCTTGGTGAAATACTTCATAAAGAGAAATGGAAGTTGAAGACTGAGTTTGGGAAGCAAGGAGACGGGGATGGAGAATTCAACTGGGCAAGAAGCGTCTGCTGTTTCAGCAATGGTGACATTGCTGTTGACGATAGCAACAAGAACCAAGTTTCTGTATTCACGTCTACAGGACAGCACAAAACCACATTTGATCTAAACGCATTGTATGGTATTTCAGTAACGTCGGATCTACTTTTGGCAAATTGTGAAGATCATGTTAAAGTTTTTGATATAAACTGTCAATTGCATTCGAAGTTCAACTTGTCGAAGCCTGATGCTGGGGATGAGCCATACATCCACACAAGCGATGCCACGGTTGACAATGAACATTTGGCAGTAGTGTTCAATGGGCAAAGAATGGTCACATCTCTCTACAATCTGGACGGATCGCTGATCAGAGACATCGCCAGTGCTTCCATATGTCAAGAGGATATTGCCATAAGCAGCAAAGGCCGTTTGATTTTCACACAGTACGACAGCAGTATATTACAATGCGTAGAAATGACAGGAAAAGAAGTGTTTGCTGTTCGCACTTCTCTGGAAGACAAAGAGGCGACACCAGCCGGTGTGTGCTGCGATGATGCAGGCGATATATACGTTACCTTTCATTGCGGTCCACACACAGGGAGCAGTGAAGTGCACCACTATGATTCCCAGGGGGTCTATGTTGATTGTGTTGCGAACAAATTGTTGTGGCCATTTGGCATTACCTTTTCCCCAAGCGGTGAACTTGTAGTGGCTGATCAGAACTCTGTCAAGATTTTCCATCGAATATGACCTTGCTAATAAGGGGTATGAAAATGGTTACGGAACTACCGATTTGGAGTAAGTAGAATAGAACGTTCATACACATCCAAACTCATAATGGTAAAGACACTTGTAAATGATCACGACAACAAATTTATGGTTATAACGGGAAGCTCATATACTCATAACCAGGCATGAAAAACAATCCGGGCAAAGTCTTCCGTTATAAAGGTTTTCATACACAGTCAATTACAGGCAAAATTACATTTGAAGTTGAACGCAACACCGTATTGTAAACAACAAAATGATACTTAAAGATGGCCACGTTAATGCGGCAAACTTTGACTAATTTCGAAGATTATATATATTTTAGACAATCTAAAAAGTCAAAAATAAATTAAATTAGGAAAGTTTCAACTGTAAAAATGAAAGTTACAATGATGCTCCTCTCGCTCTGCTAAAAGCGAGTGTTCAGAATGGAAAATTGCGTCGATGAGGGCAGCAAACAGAACAGCGGCTCTTGCACTCCACCAACAAAAATCAAAGCTGCTTCTGTATTGGTTTTTAACATGTTCAACGTACACGATGCGAGGATGATTCTTTTGTCATTGAATTCTCAAGCTTCCCAATATTTAATTACTTCTGTCAGGGAGAATATCTTTGAAAATAAACGGTACCTTTAATAAATCTACTATACCAGAAGCAGACGCACCGTCGGACAATAGGACAAAATTGTTTCAATTCAAGAGCAAATCGTATATCGAAATGTCGGAAATGCATTCACTATGCGCATGCAGGAGTATGACACAAAACAGTCGTTTGATTGTGGAGCCGTATACATTGACGTCATCAAAATTGGCTTGTAGAAGATACTCCCGACGGCTTTTGTTTTCCTTCTGGCTTTTGGCAGAGCTTCTTTATACTATTTCCTTTTCGCTGAAACTCCCCTTATTAAATTGCTGATAATGTAAACTGTTCAAATGAATATATATTTCACAGTTAGTCAATGTTCTACAAATTAAAGTGGCTGATCTTTAAAAAGGGCGACAAAATTATTACGCAACATTGCGTCTGGCTTGAACTTCTGTATGATAATTGTTTTAATGTATTGCATTTTAAAGCATCTGTTATTCTTTGTTGAGTTTTTTTTCTATTCGTATCTTAGGTTAAGTTAAATATATCCATAAATTTCTTTTGAATCTGATTCTATCACAAAATTATTAAGTGTTTTAAAGATGTTTTTAAATAGTTTTTAGACAGAATAAAAAAGCTGCTTGTATGTTGTTGCTCTTATACATATTTGTTTTGCGTAAAGATGACTTCAGAATGCTTCCCAAAGCCCTAAAAAAATAAGTTATGATCAAGTTTCGAATTGCTTTAATTAAACCTTTTACTTTTAGACACAAGACTCCGCATAGCCACGTGCTCACTTACAATTCAAACTGTGAGGAAATTTAAGCTATACCAAAGAACGAACAAACCTCAACCGACAGAACTTGTGTATAACTTAAAAATATACTCTTGATCTTGGATTTTAAAATCATTAACACCCGACCCAATAGCCTCCGTGCATTTGACGTGACATCTGAGGGCAGATCTTTATGTAACGGGAATGAGTTGACACTTGGTACTGTATTCATCACTAAATTTCAATAACATATCCTACAAGTACATAAATTGACAATCGGATTTCGAATGAATGAATTTTGTGATAAAAGTTAAGGCAACTGGAAGTTAAGCTTAACACCATAGTTACTGAACAAAAACTTTGATCTCGCAATGCTTCTGTTTTTGTTCTTGTCTGTGGTCTTTGTTATTGCTTTTTTTGTTTTTAAAGCATGGGCTACTCAGGTAACCTTTGTGTCGCATGTAACTATGAAGCTTATATTTTATATTGAAAACGAGTTTTTAATAAAGGTCAGAACTGAGGGCTGCGTTCATAAAGAATGATTAAGGGTAATACGGATGCACGGAAATACAACGTACGTGCTATGCTGAGAAAACGTAACTTTCGAACGGAAAATACTTCCTTTAAACACTGTAAATATGGCCCCTTTTCCGAAACTGTTATATTTTAGGGGTCACTTGGTTTGGACTTTCTGATTGGCATTTTGTTCGTTAAATATTGGGGACGAGGCAGTTGTTATCCATCCCTAGGCAACTGAGAAAGTAGGGATCGGCCTACACCGGGCTCAGGATACACTTTGTCTTCCTTCATCAGTTCGTTCACCATTCACGCGGTATTTAGATTAATTTCCACAAAATACTGTACGCCTGTAATCCCCTGGAAAGAAACATTCACAGAGCCCCCTCCCCCGGCTATCCCAATACTTTTTGTTTAAATAATAGTTTATTAACCGTATCAATGGTGTGTAGGGAACTCTACAAACGTCATACGCACGTGATATGCCTTTTCATACAAGTTGAACCTTGAACTCTTTGGTGCACTGCTATGTTGTGGCAAAAATAGCACAAGGTTTTTCCGGATTTGAGAAAAATGAGAAATATCTCCCAATATCAGTAGCCATTGCGGATGATATGAAGAATACTGGAAAAAACTGATTTGTTGACAGCTTCAGATTGTGTTGTAATCAACCACCTGTGCCTGAAATATACACCTGAGTCAATTACAGAAAGGTAGGCATATACGTTAGTATGGTTAGGGATGAGTAAGAGCCGGGATAAATTCCTCAAAAATCAGACACTGTTTAGACCTAATGACATGGACAAATTATGGTGATCCGCCATACTTTCTGGCTCACACTGAAGACCAAAATGCTATAGAATTGAGAAAACAAACGTCTTACCGTGAAGGAACGATTTTGCAATGATGATTATCATGAGAGATCCGACGTAGACCTAAACGCCAAGTACAGTAATTAAATTTCTTTTTGTAAGTTTTTGTTGTTTCAGTACAGGACAGTAAAACAATGGGACAAATTTATGAGCGAATGTTTTCATGAAGCATAAATTTAGATTTACAATTTGAAGATTAACCCTAATCGGAAGAGTATGTTCCTAAAGTGACATGTCGCAGCAACAACGCATGAAACATTTGAAATGAATAAAAAAGTTGACAGTGCCAATTTTTCTTCTTTTTATATCAATAAAGGATATCTAATATTTTGTGATACATTTCAGAGGAATGGACATTTGCTACAAATATGTTGCAGTATAAAAATCATTTCATGGACCCTTTATCATAACGACAAACCTTACTCTAACTTGACCCATTTCTTACCCCCAACAAAAGTACCCAGCCAGCACGGTTCATTTTCCTTTGATAGAAGGATCAAATATGTGCAGTTAAGAAGTCTGTGTCATCTACATTGCATATTGTGGTATGAACTAAATAATGTATACAGCGGTTAATCACAATGTTCATAAACCTGACAAGTGACAATCAGCCGATTTCGCAATCATTTAGAACCTTATAGCTAGTGTAACTATGGATGATAATTACAAACCACTTTTTTAGTGCCATCAATGGAATTAGCAGAATATTAATTTATAGCCGTCAATTCCATTCTATGTCTCCTTTCAGATTGAACGAATAACGAGTACGTCACTGTAATCCGACTCCAAGGCTGAATTGAGGCGGTGCATTCTCAAATGGTAAGTTGCAGTCGAATAGTTTACAATCTCGCAGCCTGATGTACAGAAACATTGACTGGTTTTTTGACATACACTTGCCATCTTGTTGCGAGGATGTTTTGGGGTAAACAAAGCATTCACTATTAAATCAATCTTTGCTCAACAAAAAAATACACCTGTAAGGAAAAAAATGACAATAGCACCCCCTCGAGGTGAACATGAATGTCAAATGTTATTCAGTTTGTTGTTTCGGTTGATGTATAGCGTCTCAAAGAATTAAATGAAAGTTAAAACCATTATTTACAAGAAGTGTCTTTGACCCAACATCCCTAACAATGGTAACCTTATGATACAGGAACCAAATTACAATATGCCCTTTAAAAGGTTACAGGTCACCCAATATAATTGCCAAATTTTAAGAAAATCAGCCAAAGAATATGAGTAGACCAACTTTACTCCGGTTGTGAAAAGATGAGGTATTTGCCTCTTTTTGACGCTGGGATATTGTGCAAAATTTGTCATCAGAAATCCTACAGATGAAAATTCACACTTCTATCCAAACGCTGAGAAGACGGAATAGTTCCATATGGGGACCTGTATCTCATTGACTTACATTAATGATGCATTCTAAATATCATACATTTGTTTGTTTTCCTCGTACACTGCTGGAGTTTTGTCACGATTTATGGTATTTAATTTAAGTAAAGGCAATTCAAGATCAAATCTAGAAGTCAAATTATTTCAGTAGAGTGGAGTCAAAACCGCGTTTTAAAGCTAAACCGTGTGCTGATCTAAGCCAGTTTATATTATCTTTGCAGTTTACCACTTAACTCATCTAACACTAAAAAGTCCGAGTGTTGAAACCAAGGCGCGAATAATTATTTTCAATCTTGCTTTTTCAAGTTGGTTGGGAGATAACCAGCTAAGGATGGCCGAGGCCACAGCCAAAACCATGTTAGGTGAGATCAGCCAGGGTCACCTGGAATGCCCCATCTGCTTCTGTCGGTACAAAGATCCCAAGATACTGGACTGTCTCCACACCTTCTGCCTCAACCGTCTGGATGGGATGTTGAGCAAACAGCAGCCGAGTACAGTCACGATCACATGCCCGGTCTGCAGGAAGAAAACCCCAGTGCCGGATGCTGGCTTGCCCGGTCTACTCGATTGTTTCTTCTTGAGTTCCCTGGTGGACGAGATCAACCAGCAGGAACGATCGCTGGAGACCCAGCATCAAGCAACGACTTCACCGACGTGTGACGCATGTGAGGAGGGGTTAGAGGCCGTCTCGAAATGCCTACACTGCGAGGAAAATCTGTGCCAGCTATGCAAGGCGGCTCATGTACGATACAAACGCACCAAGACTCATCGAGTTACACCAGTTGAAAACCTGGAGCAGAAGGAGGTTCCTTCGGCAGATCTCAGCAAGACGTATTCTCCGAAATGTCCGAAGCACGCTAACCAGGAGATGCATTTTTACTGCGAGACGTGCAAGATGTTGGCGTGTGGCACATGCGCCACAATCGATCACCGATCGGCTGACCACCAGTTGAGTGAAATTGCAGACGCCGTCAGATCCTACCGTGAAGAAGTGAATGATGTCTTGCAGAAGTTTCAGAAGAGCAAAGAGGAATTCAAAGCGAATGACGAGGCAGTCGACCAAGCAAGAAACAGGCTGAAAATAATGGTGACCCGGGCCTGCAGCGACATTCAAGCTAAGGAGGAAGAAGAGATTTCCAAAATCAAGAACATGTCTCGAATTCTAAGAGACAAGGTCACTGAAATTGGCAAGAAGAGAGAAGATGAGTTTGTTAAAGTTCACACCAACAACAAGAAGAAGATGGAACGAGCAGAGGAGATCGAGGCAGCGGTGACTGACTTGATGCAACAAGCTGATGACTTTGAACTCTTGAATTTGAAGCCGAAGGTGATGAACAATCTGGAATTCCAGAAGGATCTCCAGTTTGAGCGAGTGAAACACGGTGAATCATTCATCGGAGTGAAATGCCAAGACGTTGTGCGAGACAAAGACCCTGGTGAAGTACTTCATGAAGAGAAATGGAAGTTGAAGACCGAGTTTGGGAAGCAAGGAGATGGGGAAGGTGAATTTAATTGGGCAAGGGGCGTCTGCTGCTTTAGCAATGGCGACATTGCTGTTAACGATATCGATAACAAGCGGATATCTGTGTTTACTTCTGCACGACACTACAAAACAAAGTTGGATGTGAACGCAACTCATGGTTTTGCTTTAACGCCAGATGATCAACTTCTAGTTAACTGTGACGGCATTGTAAAGGTACATGACACAAACCATCAAGTAATTTCTCTATTTAAATCATCACAGACTGACGAAACGGGTCAACCGGCAACAGAGCTTACTGGAAACATTGCAGTGGACAAGGACACACGTGTAGCAGTGATTAACAAGAACGCAACGGTCACATCTCTCCATAATCTGGACGGATCTTTGATCCTAGACATTCCGAATACTGATATGATTCCAGAAGAAATTGCCGCAAGTGACAAAGGATGTTTGATTTTCACAAATTATTACAAAAGTACATTGCGATGCGTAGAAATGACGGGGAAAGAAGTGTTTACTGTTGGTATTTCTCTGGATGACGAAGAGGTGAGGCCAGTCGGTGTATGCTGCGATGATGCGGGCGACATCTATGTTACCTTTCAGTGTGGTGAAAACGTAGGAGGCACTGAAGTGCGCCACTATGATTCCCAGGGGGTCTACGTTGATTGTGTTGCAAAAGAATTGTTGTGGCCATTTGGCATCACCTTTTCCCCAAGCGGAGAACTTGTAGTGGCTGATCAGAGCTCTGTCAAGATATTTCATCGATTATGAACTCATACGGCGTATGGAAAAGATCACGACACCAACAGTTTTGACTAGAATGGGTAGAACATGACAATAATCTTGCAATGGCAAATTCATGATAATGTCGGGAAGCTGATGCAATCGTACAAGACTTGGAAAACTGCTCCGGTATTGTCTTTTTTTACACAGGTTTTCGTGCACAGTATTTTTTTTTACAGCAAGATGCTCATTTGAAGTTAAACACATTCGAATCACATAGACAAAAGGGAAATACTTACAAATGACGGCAAATATTTACGTCTCTATAACAGTGTGCCTCACGTTTTGGACTCATATGAGAGAAATAAACTCTATTGAGACATTTTGCCAAGTGGGCTCATAAAAAAATATGAGATCCGCATTCCTTTTAAGTGTCATGCTAACAATTTCTGTATGATAATTACTTTTAAAATTTCGTGGAGTTTTAAGCGTTGGTAATTTGCCCACTTTCCTATTATTCGTATCTTGTATGAATTATTCATTTATTTTAAAATGCTATTGAACTGTTTGAATAGTACATCTGCTTACAAATTATTACAGAAGTCTTCCAAGCCCCCCCAAAAATTCAAATTATTAAGTTTTTAATCGATGTAGATATAACTTTGAGATACACACATACGCATGGCCACGTGCCCACTTACAATTCCAACCGTGAGGGAAAAATAATGTATCGCAAAGCAGGGGAGCGATGTGGTTTGTGAAGGATAAATCTCAAAAGAAAATATTTGTACAATTCAGACTTTTTATTTCATTTTGTTTTTTTTATACAAAAAATAATGAATACATTTATAAAATCACTAACACCCGACACAATAGACTCCTTGCAACTGACGTCAGATGTGAAGGCAGATCTTTATGTAATGGGAATGAGTTGACACTTGTACTTTATTCTTCACTGAATATCATAAAAAAATCATATTGTACTTTGAAACCACATGTACATACATTGACAATCACTCGGGTTTGGAATGAATGGATTTTGTGATAAAAGTACAGTCGTCCGATGGATAAATAAATAGCCTACTATAGTTTAACGCTGAATAAAAAAATCTGATATCGCTATTCCTCTGTTTTTGTTCATGACTTTGTGCTCTTTGTTGCTTTTTATTCATTTTTTTTTTTTGATATGGACTACTCAGGTAACCTTGGTGTCTCGTGTAGTTATGAAGCATATATTTTATATTGAGATATGATAGAGGTCAGAAAAGAGGGCTGCTTTCATGAAGAAAGATTAAGGAAAATAAGGGAATACAACGTACCATGCTGAGACAACTACACTTTCCAATGAGAAATACTTCCTTTAAATACTGTATATATGGCCCCCTCTTTCTGCTACTATTATATCCCAGGGGTCACTCGGTCTGGACTTTCTGAATTGGTTTTGTTTGTTCAAATATTGGGGAATAGGGGGTTGTTATCCACTGATCCCAAGGCCGCTGAGACGGTGTCGATCTTGATGGGCCTACACTGGTTAAGGATATACACCCCATCATCCTGTAGTTCTTTCACCATTTACGCGGTATTTAGGATAATTGGCACAAAATACTTAATTCACGCCTGTAATCCCCTCGAATAACACATTCCCAGATCCCCCAGGCTACCCCAATACTTTTTGTAAAACTAATAAATTGCAAGTTAAATAACACTATCAATGGTGGATAGGGAACTCCGTAGTTTGACATCTACACAACGTCATGCGTACGTGATATGCCTTCTCATACAAGTTGAACCATGAACCCTTGGTGCGCTGCTGTGTTGGGCAAAAAATAGCACTGGGTTTTTCCGGATTTGAGAAAAGTGAGAATATCTCCCCATATACGTAGCCATTGCGGATTACATGAAGAGCTCTGGCAAAACTGATTTGTTGACAGCTTCAGATTGTGTTGCCATCAACCACCTGTGCCTGGAATACACACTTGAGTCAATCACGGAGAGGTAGGCATACCACAGGGAAGTGTGAGGAGCGGGAAAACTTCCTAAAACCAGATGACATGATAACTTATGTTGATCCGCCACACTTTCAGGCTCATAATGGAGGCCATATAATTACCAACGAAGCAAGATTTGGAAACATTGTTCGTGGGCAATAAAATTAAGAAAACAAACGGGTAAGACTAAGAGACGAAATGATTTTGCGGACGATTGCGATGTGAGATCCGACATAATGACAATCTTTACTCTATAACGTTCGTTACATCTTTAACAGCGTTTAATTCGCACGCTTAACAAACGTACCACGCAGCACAGAAATATTTCCATGTTCCATTCATAGAAGGATTAATTAGGTGCAGTACTAGTGTGTAATCTACTGTTCATGTTGTGGTGGTACCGACATGGACTAAATAATTATATATACATCGGTTCTATTACCATTGCCAATTTATCTAACATGACTTACTGTGAATTACATGCTAATACCATGGCCTGTTAACGCAAAACTGGTTTAGTATAAGGAGAATAATAATCAATTCACCAAATACGATTTCCAATCAATGTCAAATACCAAATACACCATGCAGTTGGTCGATGTTCATGAACCTGAAAATCAGCCGATTCCGCAATCGTTTTGAACCTCAGCTAGTGTGACTATTGATGAGAATTTACAAAACACTTTCAGTGCGCAAAATGGAATAAGCAGAATACCAATTTAAAGCGGTCAATTCCTTTTTTTGTCTCCAGATTGAACGAATAAGGAGCCCCTGTAGTCCATCTGTATAGCTGAGTTGATGCGGTATTTTCTGAAAAGGTAAGTTTCAGTCTAACAACTTACAATTTCGCAACCTACTGGTCTTCGGAGACACTAACAGTTAACATAAGCCCTTTAATGCTGCGACGATGCTTGGGGAAACAAATAAATCACATTATATCAATTTTAGCTTCATGATGTAGATAGCTTATTTTTTTTAATATATCCTGAAGAGGAAACATAATAGCACGCCCTCGAGGTGAACATAAATGCCAAATGTTATTCATTTTATTGTTTCGTTTATATAGCGAATACAATATTTTCAAACTTGTTTTGTTCAGGTTGGTTGTGAGATAACCAGCTGATGATGGCTGAGGCCACAGCTAAAACCATGTTAGGTGAGATCAGCCAGGGTCACCTGGAATGCCCCATCTGCTTCTGTCGGTACAAAGATCCCAAGATACTGGACTGTCTCCACACCTTCTGCCTCAACTGTCTGGATGGGATGTTGAGCAAACAGCAGCCGAGTACAGGCAAGATCACATGCCCGGTCTGCAGGAAGGAAACCCCGGTGCCGGATGCTGGCTTGCCCGGTCTACTCGATTGTTTCTTCTTGAGTTCCCTGGTGGATGAGATCAACCAGCAGGAGCGGTCGCTGGAGACCCAGCAGCAAGCAACGACTTCACCGACGTGTGATGAATGCGACGAGGGAATAGAGGCCGTCTCGCGATGTCTAGACTGCGAGGAAAATCTGTGTCAGCTGTGTAAGACGGCTCACGAACGCGCCAAACGCACCAAGACACATCGGGTAACACTGGTTAAACACCCGGAGCAGAAGGAGGGTCCTTCGCCAGATCTCAACAAGACGTATTCTCCTAAATGTCAGAAGCATGCTGACCAGAAGATGTATTTTTACTGCGAGACGTGTAAGATGTTGGCGTGCGGCATATGCGCAGCGATCGACCACCGATCGGCTGAACATAAATACTGTGAAATTGCCGACGCCGTCAGATCGTATCGTCAAGAAGTAAATGATGTCTTGCAAAAGTGTCAGAAGAGCAAAGAGGAATTCAAAGCAAATGAGGAGGCAGTCGACCAAGCAAGAAACAGGCTGAAAATAATGGTGACTCGGGCCTGCAGCGACATTCAAGCTAAGAAAGAAGAAGAGATTGCAAAAATCGAGACGAAGTCTCAACTTCTCCTAGACAAGGTCACTGAAATTGGCAAGAAGAGAGACGAGGAGTTTGACAAAGTTCACACCAACAACATGAAGAAGATGGAGCGAGCTGAGGAGATTGAGGCAGCCGTGACTGACTTGATGCAACAAGCCGACGACTTCGAACTCTTGAATTTGAAGCCTAAGGTGATGCACAACTTGGAATTCCAGAAGGATCTCCAGTTTGAGCGAGTGAAACACGGTGAATCTTTCATTGGAGTCAAGTGCCAAGACGTTGTGAGCGATAAAGACCTTGGTGAAATACTTCATAAAGAGAAATGGAAGTTGAAGACCGAGTTTGGGAAGGCAGGACACGGGGATGGAGAGTTCAAGTGGGCAAGAAGCGTGTGCTCCTTTAGCCATGGCGACATTGCTGTCAACGATATCAACAATAAGCGGAAATCTGTGTTTACTTCTACAGGACAGTACAAAACAAAGTTGGATGTGAACGCAACTCATGGTTTTGCTATAACGCCAGATGATCAATTTCTGGTTAACTGTGACGGCATTGTAAAGGTACATGACACAAACCATCAAGTAATTTCTCAGTTTAAATCATCACAGACTGATGAAACGGGTCAACTGGTAGAACGCATAACCGGAGGCATTGCAGTGGACAAGGACAACCGTATAGCAGTGGTTAACAAGAAGATAACGGTCACATCTCTCCATAATCTAGACGGATCTTTGATCCTAGACATTCCGAATACTGACATGTCCCCAGAAGATATTACTGTAAGTGACAAAGGACGTTTGATTTTCACAAATGTTGGTAGCAACAAATTGCGATGCGTAGAAATGACGGGGAAAGAAGTGTTTACTGTCAGCACTTCTCTGGGTGACAAAGAGGCGACACTTGCAGCCGGTGTATGCTGCGATGATGCAGGCGACATCTATGTTAACATTTACTGTGGAGTCGCAGGGACCGGTGAAGTGCGTCACTATGATTCCCAGGGGGTCTACGTCGATTGTGTAGCGAAACAATTGTTTTGCCCAGCGGGTATTGCCTTTTCCCCAAGCGGAGAACTTGTGGTGGCTGATTTCAATTCTGTCAAGATATTTCATCGAGTATGAACTGGCTAACAAGGCGTATGAAAATAATGACGACTGATATGAATGATCGTCAGATGAAAAATAATGCTAATATCAATATCTTTACAACATTACACGACACGGAAAACTTTCTTCATAAACACAAAATGTATAACAGAACAAAATCACACATTGACTTCAAACGCACCGTAAAAATGACGAACAACATACATGTATATTTAAAAGGACCGAAAACTGTTACCGTGTGTAAAGCAACGCGCCTCACTTTGTTTCTACTCAAATAAGATAAATAAACACTTATGTCATTTTGACTGGCTCTTGAAAAAGATAACACCCTTTTGTGTCATGTGTGTCATGCTGATTGTTATTCCTTCAAGGAAAACCACTTGCGAAATGTAATGAATCGTTAAGCGTTTGTCATTTCGTCCTTGGTAATTGGTGAGTGTTGCATGTTCTCAAGTGTTTTACAGCGAGTTCACAGTGTCAAGGCAGAGTCAGGGCTGCTCTTAATTATTGCTCTTATTTTTTTTCTACGCAAAAATGATTTCGGAATTCTTTCCGAGCCCTACAGAAAAGTAATATGATTATAAAAACCTTTTGATACAAGACTACGAATAACCACGTGCTGCACTTATGATTCCAATCGAGAGGGAATTATAATGTATCGCGAAGTGGCGGCTTCTAAAGGACATACCACAAAGGCCTTAACTCTGAAAACAAGTGTATATATGCTTCAACATTATAAATAAGATAAACATGAACATTCTTCATGTAAAAATCAATACTAACACTAACTTGCGACCATCCGAAAGCAGATCTCTCTTCTTTCCTTCGTCAATGAGAACAGAAAAGCGTGTGTGTGAATAAAAAAAACCTGCCCCAGTTGAACACTGGTGCATGAATTGCAGATGGGTCGGGTTTCGAATGGAATGGTTTTGTGATACATGGTGTTGGCATCTGGCACATGAAATAAACACTATATAGTAACTGAACAAAACCTCTCATCGTACTTTTGTTTTTTGTTCTTTTTTTGTATTGCTCTTTTGTTAAATATACACTTTTGCGTAGAAATGAAGCATAAATCTAATAATGAAAACGAGTCAATATCAGAGACATAAAGAAGGCTTGTTCACGAAGAGAGTTTAGGGTTAATAAATTGCCTGGAAATAAAACGTTAAACTCTATGCTGAGAAAACTATACTTTCACACGACCATTTCAATTAAATAATGGACAAAATAATGTGAATTTTGATGGTAAAATCGTGAAATTTTGCTAGTGTGCACGGTTCAGACTTAAAATGGGTGGGATTTGGTTTTTTTTTTTTTTTGGGGGGGGGGGCAGGGTGTGAACGTAAATCTCGTGCCAACAGCTTACGGGAAAATTGTAAATTCCAGACACTGAAAATTCACATGGTTTGATGATAAGTTACACTGGGGGCGATGACACTAGTTGTGAACATATGCAAATTAAAATGTTACAACTAATATCCACAGCTACACAACTTATCAAAAGTACTATATTTAAGTTGTCATTTTGAAGTTCCGGATCGGCGTGTTGTTTGTCAGTAATCTGGGTTGGTGGTGTGTAATATCCAACCTAGCGATCTGCCCGTGAGAAAGCGGGAATAGAGGCCTGTCTTTTCTCGATTCAATGTGTTTTTTGACAATTAACTTTATGTTTTGATTAACAACTGACACAAAATGCACGCACTTAACCCCATAGAATAAGGCATTCCAAGCTCCCTGCTCATTTTCCCAATTGAAGTTTTGTGTTAATATTATTGTATAATCCCTGTATCAATGGCTGGTAGGACCCTCCGTAGTTTTGAAGTCTACTCTTTATCATACGACGTATTTGAACCTTGACCCCATCGGTGCGCAATACCACAATTAGCGCTGGGGTTTTCCGGGTGTGAAAAATGAGAACTTCTTCTCGTATAACATGCAATTTCTAGACATGAAGTGTTCTTGCGAGAATAACATATAATTTTTAAGAGCTCCAGACTGTCTAGTGATCCATCTTGATCCTGAAATACTTGAGTTCTATGACAGCAAGGTGGGTGAATTAATACGAACAATTATGCAGGCCAACGGTACATTAATCTAATTCACTCTGCAGACCATAATACCAACGAGGCTGAGTACATTGCAGTCGATGGGCAGTCTGATGATAGGCAGTGGCTGTTGGTTACTGTGGATCTTTTTCACTAAAAATTGTTTGAGCAATGCAGGGGCTGCTAGAAATCTAAGCACGGATTTGAAAACTTGGTCATGTAGACAGTAAATCAGGATATTAATGGACTGCTTAAAACGGGACTCGTGTTGAATCCGAGGAAGGTCTTTCGCCCCCCCCCCCCCACCTTCCCCATCCCAGATCAGGGATCGACTTAATTATTTCATCATGTAAGGAAAAAAGGTCCAGATAGACGCACTGATTTGTGGAACGAGAACGGTATCATAAAGGCAAAATACACGATGAGTCATGTTTTAAAATCTAGGGGTCCGCTCATAAGTCCGACGCCTCATAGGTCCGACGCCTCATAAGTCCGACAAAATCGCATCCCCTAAACAAATAAAGGCCCATAAGTCCGACGCCTCATAGCTCCGACGCCTCGTAAGTCCGACAAATTAAACGCCTCGTTTTTCCGTTGTTGGACTTATGAGGCATCGGACTTATGAGGCGGAATAAATACATTTTAAGCCTCATAAGTCCGACGCCTCATAAGTCCGAAATTTCGGACATATATGAGGCGTCGGACTTATGATACGGCCCCAAATTATAATCACAACCCATATCCTAATCTAACCTCTTCTTACCATCACATCACACTTAACTTCTTTATTATCATTTTGTATTTGGATCAAGTGGGCTATTGTTAATGATCCTGTATAGTCTTGTAGTGAGCGCGGAGTAGCGCCGTGGGGCTTGAGTCTCGTTGGGGGCGAGTTGACATACACACACACACACAGCGGAGATTAAGTTTCACCGGAGAATCACTGATTATTTATTCATTAATTAATGTTCATTCGTCTTCATTGGTTGCTCAGGGTCGAAGGGAAGGAGGTAGCCAGTCGCTGCACCAGGCTAAGCACGACAAACAGTAGCTTTCATCATGATTTCCAGTGGTATTCGGGGGATTTATCTCTGTATTTTCCCCAACTCGGAGACCATTCCTCTCATCTCTTCCCGTGACTGACACAGATTTCTATTCTTCTCGTTTTCACTAGTATAGTTCCGGAGCACTGCCCCGCGAAGCCTGTTTACCGCTGTCTGGGTTACCTCTCCCTTCTCTTAGAATAAACAGCTTTTGTATCACTCTAAAGAACCTTAGTAATATACAAAGAGTATACTTAACTACCAAATTATGTAAGATACAGTCTTTTATAAGCACCAAACAATCATTAATGAGGCCCTATATTATCTTACACGACACCGAATGCCAGTCTTTGCAGACATATCCCTGCGCTGCATGGATACACGTTCTATTTTTAGAATATTGTGCACACACCTGGGAGGCCAGCTTTTGGCAATTTAACGGTGAGTAGGCGAGCGCCCTCTGTTGGCCAAATTTGTGAATGATCAACAACAAATCACTATCATAAGTCATTTCTCCACAAACTCCCCTACTGAATTGATCTTCTCCTGGAGATCACCTTGATTTAAAGATTTATAAACGCTAACATTACTATAACAAGTTAAACACTAAATAAAACATTAAGAATAAAGCTTAATGCTTAAACAATGTGTCTGGTTCCTTTTGAATATTTACCAAAATTTACTTTCGAAAAATTTAACAAGCTGTCTGAGGGTTCTCTCGTATTGGGACATTCCCCATCGATTGAGGTGCACACCGTCCAGATTAAAACGTGGGTGCTTCAAACCACGGTGATGCCAGACCCACCAACGGTCCTCCTTAAGAGTTTCCGCTTCAAGCAGCTTGTTGAAGACCTCTGCCTTCTCATTAAATTCAGAGACAGATACTTGATTCTGCCTCATATTACCTGTACGTGGCAAGACAGGCAAAAACACCACTACACAAGGACTAATACCAAACCTTGGCAGATCCCGAACAAAGGAACAAAGTAAGTCAAACACATCCTTTGATGATACACCAACTGTACCCAAATCATTAGTCCCTAGATCAATTATCAAAATAGAGGGCTGTACTCTGGCAATCATACGGTAATAACGACAACGACTGGCATTAATGCGACTTAGTGTCAATCCTCCTTCCCCCAAACAAGAAAGAGGTACTCTTTTCCTCTCTAAATCTATATTTACTGTTGCTTCTCGCCTTCCTGAGAAACGCCTAACAAAACTGTGTCCAAATAACACAAATCCCATAATGGTAATGCTGCTAGAGGGTATCTCCCCCTCTTCAACTCGAGCTTCAAACAATTTGTCTATATAAATCATGCAATCTATAATCTTTAGATTTACATTCTTCTGGAACTGAATACATTTTGTAATTTCAAAACCCAACTGGTAATGCTTATTTACCAAGTGGTACATCATGTACATGCATACACCGGCCTGAGCCGCATGGACCATTTCCAAGTGAGAAGTAGAGCAAGGCGACCACATGGGGTCGGATTCACTCACAGGAAGACTGGATACCCCAAGTCTCTTCCACAGAGTATGTCCGAGTCCCATGCAGCCACAGGCTAAACCCTCACACCAAGACTATTTCAGAACAGAGCAGGGCAGCCTGTGTGGGTTTGAATGAACACCCTTAGTTCTTCTCCGTGATGTTCTCCGAGGTTGTTCGTGATCTAACTCTGAGACCCTATGGGGCTCCCCTACTTTATTATCCTGTACCCCTCGGTCAACTGCTGAGTTACTTGGTTCAGACTTGGTCACAATAAAGTCGTTTTCGGACTCATCACTACTCTCAAAGTCATCGCCAGACTCTGGATCTGCAAGTGGATCCACTCGTAAATATTTACGGTTGACCGTCTTCTCCGGTCCTCCATTAATTGGTCGAATGCGATATACATCCCCGTGGACATTCTGCCATGCCACTACATACGATTCTCTACAGTATGCGTCTTCTAGTTTGTGACGGCCCTTGAACGCGCATTTCCTTAAAAGAACTCGTGAACCCACTGGTAAAGGTGCCGCAGTAGCTCTGTTACTATGTGCGTTTTCGTTCTGACGTGCTCTTTTCTCTACCCTCTCTTTTACCAAGGCCCCTACTCTCTCAAGCAGCTCCGATTGTTCCCTGACAAAAT